GCTATTATTAGTCCCTTTTTATAGATGAAGGAACTACAGAACTCATTGTCTTTCCCCCTCAACCCTGCCCCTTTCCTACCTTCCCTATTACTACAGAGGGCAATACCATCCTGCCAGTCCTTCAGGCTCACATCCTAGGAGTCATCCTGGATTCCCCATTAGTCTCTCACCCTCCATATCCAAACTGCTGCCAATATCTGTCAGTTTCACCTTTGAGTATCTCTCCAATATGCCCCCTTTCTCTCCTCTGACACAATGCCATTTTAGTGCAGACCCTCCTCACCTCATGCCTGGATTATTTTGATAGTTGTGGGTGAATCTGTCTGCCTCCAGTCCCTTCCTACTCCAACCCATTCTCCATTCAGCCACTAAAGTGTTTTTCTAATCTCAGATCTGATCATGTCCCTCCCCTGTTCAATAAACTCCGGTAGCTCCCCATTGCCTCTAAGCTCAAATGCAAAATGCTCTGTTTGGCATTCAAAGCCCTTCATAACCTAGAGCCCTCCTCCTTTTCCAGTCTTCTCACACCTTATTCCCCTACATGTACTCTTCAATCCAGAGACACTGACTTCCTTTAAGACCCAACTAAAATCCTCCTTCCCTGTAAATAAGATAATTTATAATTTTATTGATATAATATAATAATATATTGATATATATTATTATATTAATATACTTATGTATACTATACAATTTACATATTAATATGATATAATAATAATAAAAGCCTTCCTTAACCCCTCTTAGTTCCAGTTGCTACTCTCTGTCAATTATTTCCTATTTTTTCTGTCTCTAGCTTGCTTTATATATAGTTGTTTGTGTGTTGTTTCCCTCATCAGACCGTGAGCTTCTTCAAGGCAGTCATTGTCATTTGCCTCTTCTTATATTCCCAGAACTTAGCACAGTCCTTGACACATAGTAAACATTTCAAAAATGTTTATTGATTGACTGATAAAGCAGACAGAAGGTGACTTGTCCAGGGTCACATAGCCAGTAAGTGTCTGAGGTCATATTTGAATTTGGATTCCTTACTCCAGTACTCTATCCATTGTGCCACCTGGTGTCCCTGGGCCCTAATTTCCTCGGCTGTAGAAGAAGGGAGTCAGGCTAGATTCAAGGTTTTTAATCTTTCTTTCTGTGTCATAGAGCTCTTTGGTTTTCCAATAAACTCTTTGTGCAACATAGAATAATGTTTTTAAGTGCATAAAATATATGCATAGGATTAAAATGGAAACCAAAGGTTAACAAAAATAAAGACCCAATTTTTTCCCATCCAAGTTCATGTATCCTGAAATTTATCCATGGATCCCTTGGGGGGTCCATGGACCCAAGCTAGTAACCTGAGGACTAGATGGATTTTCCTGATCTGCCATTTTAAGTCTTTATAGGAAAGGTAAAGTTCAGTTTAAAAAAAAATGCAAAATCCCTGCACATATTAATGTGAGAGATCAATTAACCTCATGCTGTTACACATCTTTTTCTTTAGCATTGTTCTAATTCAATTTAATCATCATTTCTTAAGTACCTGCTATGTACCAGATAAAGTCCTAGGTTCTGGAAATTCAAAGCCAAAAACAGAGATCAGAAATATTTTCTGGTAGGAGGTGATGCTTGAGCTAAACTTCAGGGAGAGCTAGGGATTTTATGAGGCATAGCTGAGGAAAGATTTACCTTACAGGTATAAGTGACAGCATGCAAAACACGGAGAGGGAGGTGGTAGATTGTTGCAGGGGAATAGCCAGTGAGGCTGGAATGGAGAGGGTGTGATGAGGAGTATCTGGAAATTAAGTCTGAAAAGGTAGGTTGGGGCCAGATTGTGAAGGGCTTAAAATGCCAAACAGCAGAGTATGCCTTTGATTCTAGAGTCCAAAATAGGGGATCACTAAAGATTCTGTAGCAAGAGAATAATGTGCTTTGGCTTCCCAAATGTTCTTTTGGCAGCTGTGTGGAGGATGAGTTGGGGGGGGGTGTAAGAACAGAAGCAGAGATTAATTAGGAGCCTATGAGGGGTCTAAGTGAGAGGTGATGAGAGCTTGAAATATGGCTGTGAGCACCAGAGCAGAAATCGGGAAAGGGCCGGGGAGGGAGGCAGGAAAAGTTACAGAGGGAGAAGGAACAAGAGTAGACAAGAAGTGGGTCTCCATAAAAGCTGGGCTAATCATATCTGGACCATCTCTCTCTGTCTCTGTCTCTGTCTCTGTCTCTGTCTGTCTGCCTCTCTATGTCTCTTTCTCTGTGTCTGTCTCATGCTCTATCTTCACTGTCTCTGACTCTTTATTTCTCTCTGTCTCTCTCTGTGTGTCATTGTCTGTGTCTCTTTCTTTTCATCTTTCTCCTCTCTTGCTGCATTGACACCCTGGAGACTCCACCACCCTGAGCCCTGCTCTCCTGACTCACTCCCTGGTACAACTTTAGGAAGGAACCCAGCCCTGCTTTACCTAACGCACACTTGTCCTCTCTCCAGACTTAAGTCTGATCCTCCTCACTTACTGCACTGTCAAAATCATTCCTCTACCCCAGCTCGCATTTATGTGTTGTCTTACACCATTAGAGTTTCATCTCCTATCTTGTGTGCTTGTCTTTATGTCCTTAGCACTTAGCACAGTGCCTGGCACTGTAATTTTCCTTCCTTCCTTCTTTCCTTCCTTCCTTCCTTCCTTCCTTCCTTCCTTCCTTCCTTCCTTCCTTTCCCTCCCTACCTCCCTTTTCTTTTTCAATTATGTGGAATACCAGTGTCTTGCCTTCTGAATTTAGATGAGGTAATTCAGGAGTGTCTTTATGCTAGGGCCAGGCCAATTTCTTTCCTGCACCCCAAAATCTTTGCTACCCCCATGTTCATCTTAGTTATATTCCTCAAGCACAGTGTGGATCTGACATTCCAAGGAAAAGGACTCAGTAGAATGGTGTGAGAGTATTCATCATGAGGAAGGCAGAAATGGGGTCGATGTGGTCCTAGGGCTATTTTCAGCACATTTTCCCCCTGCTTTTTCCTGTGTGGAGCAATTTCTCTAAAATAATAGGTGATTAGAGGCTTTTCTTAGGTTCTTAGTCATTTAAAATTGTCAGAGGGATGTCATGGGGCAGCAATTAGCCTTTTAAGGATGGCAAGGATGGATAGCTCCCATAGAGTGATTCTCGGGTCACATGGCCTCCACATACAGATCAATGATTTAGAACTGGAACTTACCTTTGAAGTCTTCTAGTTCAAACCCCCTCATTCTACACATGAGGAAACTGAGGCCCAGAGAGGTGAACTATTGTGCCCCAGGTTACACAGGGCGGAGGCAAAACTAGAATCCAGGTTCTTTGATCTCTAAGTCTGCTCTTTCTCCTGTGCCACACTGGCTCTTAGGAGACCTCACTAGCTCATACTTCTTTTTCCAGTTACCAGTGGTTATACCAGTGGTGCTGGGGAAGGAAGACTGGATTTCCAGCATGGGCGAGGAGCTGGGTTTGAAACCTGGCCTTGCTATGTGTATGCCATCGGGCAAGTGACTTCACCTTTCAAGGTCTCAGTTTCCTCTTTTGTAAAATGAGCGGCTTAGACTAGATGATGTCTGAGTGCTCTTCTAGCTCAATGTCTAAGATCTCATGATCCCAGGATAATACTGGTATAATAGACTTTCTGGGTTATAGCAAGAGAGTTGTATGGTTCAGCATAACAGGAAGCTGACTGAATGGTCGTGCATTCATTCATTCAGTCAATCAACCACCCAGCCAATCAACTAAACTCATCCTTGCCTGCTCGTACTGAGTAACCTTTGTCCGTGTCCCAGGACCACATTTCCAGAGTTGAAAGGGCCCTCAGAGACCATCTAGTCTCTGGGTTGATGGTCTAGGGGAGTTGAAGGGGAAAGGCAACTTCCCTATCTCCCATCTAGCCTTGGAGGCTGTAATTAGCACATGGCCCTCTCTATATTTGTGGCTATTCTTTCTTGATCTTGGAGAAACAAGTATTCCTAGGTGGATATATCCAAGCATTAATCAACCTTAAGAATTTAGGAGATCCGAAGGTCCCAGCTGAGGTCTCATCAGAAGCCACAGTTGGTAGCAGAGTCACTGGAACCAGTCACAAGTGCCACAGGAATTGGGAAGTGACTGAGCAGGAGCCTTTAGATGGAAGTGTCCAAGCAATGATCATTCCAACATTCATAGAGATTTCATGGTGGCAGCTGAGTGATTGGTCCAGCTTGGCTACAGATTAATTCATCCAGCAGAGAACCCACATCCTCTGAGGAGCCAGGCCAGTGGGAAGTGAGTTGTTTATTAGCATCATCACACCCTGTAGCCAACTTCATGAGTACTTCAAAAAGGGAAAAAAGGACTTCCAGAGCCAGCGGTCAGGAGGTCCTCCCTTTGATTGACACACAAGTGTCTTACTATCATTGTACTCTAAGTTTCAGTCTATTCTTACCTTGGATCCTGACTCTATTTGTGGAAGAGTACTCCCCAAACCTTTGGGGGGGCATGTTTTGAACCAACTACTCTTTTCTATCATATGAGTAAAAATCCCTTTCTTAAAAAAATCAGCTAATCGAAATATAGCTGCCTGGTGTTAATGGCAAGTACACTGACTGGGGTTTGTTAATAATAGCCCTAGAACTCACCCCCTGCAGAGCTACTGTTATAACTCTGACAGAAGCAGTAATCAGCTGACCTTCTGGGAACTTCAACCTGAAATGCAGGATGAATGAGTGAGCCCAGAAGAGATGCTCTAATGGGGACAGGATCAAAATCTTAATAAACCTTCCATGATGGCAGTTATTTAGACGCATGAAAGACTGGGATTTCATTGACATGGAGTAGAACACAACCTATCTAGTACTTGGGGAGTTGGTCTGATGCACATAGAGGTTAAGGTTATGCTCAGGGTCATACAGCTAATGGATATCAGATGCAGGGTTTGAACTCATGTCTTACTTAGGCTTCAAGTTCATCTACTTCATTTTCCTATTCCACCTTCTTTAAAAATTAGAGTAGACACTAAATTAAAATGTTACCTGGACCAATACAAAGAATCTTTTCTTCCATCTCTTCCAAACATTCTTACCAATGGCCCATAAATACCTAGAAAGGGAAAAACAAAACTCAAGTTAAGGTGAGTGGAAGGAGATGACAGCATTATTTCCCAAAGCCTCAGAGAAGTAAGCAATACATTGTACTTATAAGAGTATAAAGCCTAATGACAAATCCATCACAAGTTTCAGGAAGCATTTATGAACGCATCCCTTTAAAAGGACCAACTGGTGCAGGTATTAAAACCTTTGGGTGCAAAAACTGCTTGAAAAATGTGGGAGAAAAAAAGAGTGCTAAGCCCCTCTAATTGTATTTATTTTACTTCTGGTAGGATCTAATTAAAAAAGCACCTAGTCTTTTTTCCTTATTGTCTGTTCTTAGAAAAGAACTAGAGCTCTAGTTTTTCAAAGAAATTTTGAGCTAGGAACATCCCATCACTTCTGTAAATGGTGGCTAATTTACCTAAGGAAAATCTCATCATCATCATCAGGAGAATTTTTTCACCAGTCCTTTCTTACATAGGCACTGTGCATGTGCTATATGTAACTAAGGAGCAGTAGCAGCTGAAAACAATAGAGACATCTCTAGCTTTGAGCAAACCTCACATGGGAAGACTCAGTTTCACGAAATAGACTAGGGGATGATTGTTCAGTTTGGAGACGGGTTCTCCATAGGGTTGCTCTGATACTCTTCCCTCTCACCTAGCATCAAAAACAGGGCAACAGGCACAATTTTGATCTAGGTGCCACTTTTTAGATGCGCACCTGTGGGCAAATATAGAGAGGGAGAGATCTATATTTTAAGTTCTGTGGAGCATATGGCTTGTCACATAGTTGCACTAAGGTCAATCTAATGCTTATGATGTCCCAATGAATAAAAAAGAAAATTAAGTTTGATGAGGTGCAACAGAATTCAGGTCCTCTGATGTCAATTTTAGTACTTTTCCACGATACCACATAGTATTGGATTTAGGGTCAAGAAGACTTGAGTTCAAATCCAGCCTCAGACACTTATTAGCTATGTGACTGGGAAGGTCCCTTAAACCGCTGTCTGCCTCATTTTACCCATCAATAAATGGGGATAATGATAACACCTAACTCTCAAGGTTGTTTTGAGGATGAAATGAGATAACACATGTAATGTGCTTTGCAAACATAGAAACTATGTAAAAAGTAAGTTATTATTAAAATTCTGGCTATATTATTTACTCCCTGCTTGACTTTGGGAAAGTCACTTTCTTCTTCTATAAAATGGCAGAATTATTAATACTGCCCTCTATGATCCCTTTCATCACTGAATGACTCTAAATAATGAGATGGGAGTTTCTTGTGCATCTCATTAATTGGCTCTGAAGACAATGCCCAGAGAATTCTAAAAATATCTTGAACAATGGTTATAACATTGGATTATGAGTAGAGAATCTCAAGGTGACTGTAACAATATTCACTTTGATGCTTAAATTCCAATTCATTTCCTAAAAAAGAAGTCTCACTGCTTTATAGTCATACCTCTAACACAATATTTGCTTCTTGAATTCAACAGTGCGTTGCATAGAATTATTGAGGCTTGGTGTTAGAAAGGACCCCAGAAGTCACATAGTCCAATCTTTATCAAAATTACATATTTTGTGTGATGTTGGGCATGTATCAGCGGTCATTCATCATATTCTTAAAACCTCCACCAGTCATCGGAACTTATTATGTTGAGGTAGCCCATTCTGTTTTTAGTATCTCTAATTGTTAAGATTTTTTCCCCTGATTTTGAGCTGAAATCTGTTTTTCTGTAACTTTCACTCACTGGTCTTAGCTCTGATCTCTGGGCTCAGCAGAACTGGTCTAATCACTCCCTCATGACAACCCCTCAAATAATTGATGACTGCTATCAAGCCCTCTTGCTAAATCTTCTTTGATCCATACTAAATATACTTGGACCCTTTACCATCCTGGTTATCTAATGCTGGTACACCCTTCACCTTGTCAACATTCCTTCTAAAATGTGGTACCCCTTGTTGGACACAAAAGTCCCTCTACATGTGGCTTGAACAAGGCAGAGTACAATAAGATTTTCCTTGCTCTAGGCACCATTGCTAAAGCTTAATGCTACATTAACCCTTTTGGTTGCTACATCACATTGTCGATTCCTACTAAACTTGCAATCTACTTAATCCTCTAACTGTTCTCTTGCCTCCTTTATCCTGTGTTGATGTAGTTGATTTTTTGAACCCTGCTGCAGGCCTTTGCACTTATCTCTATTTGCTATTAGATCTTGATTTTATCAGTCCATATATTAGCTATCCCTCCCTGCTTTATATTATCTGCAAACTGAATAAGCATACTATTTATATACTTGTTTTGTTGTTCAATTGTTTCAGTCATGTCTGACTCTTCATGACCCCAGATGGAATTTTCTTGGCAAAGATACTGGAGCAGTTTGCCAATTCCTTCTCCAGCTCATTCTGCAGATGGAGAATTGAGGCAAACAGGGTTAAGTGACTTGTCTGAGGTCATACAGCTTTACTGGTGTCTGAAGCCAGATTTGAACTCACAAAGATGAGTCTTCCTGACTCCAGGTCTGGTGCTCTGTCCACTGTGCTGTATACTTGTGTACATCTTTTATAAATAACATCTACAGCTAACAATGTAATTCAATAAGTATATATCATGTACTTACTACATATGCCTTGCTTGGGTGTCGAGCATGCAGATACCTTTAGAAGATCGAGTATAATGGAATTTTAAACCTGGAAGGGGTCTCTGAGATCACTTAATCCCTTCACCTCCTTTTATAGGACTAAGAGTCTGCCCAAGGTCATGCAGAACATTGGTGGCAGAGCTGGGTCAAGAACTTAGGCCTTCTGACTTTGGTTCAGTTTGCTTTCCCCATCCATACATTTTATTGGGTCTCATTCTGTCACAGAGCAACAAAATGCTTGTTTTTAAAGAGACTCTTTGGGTCTTTAGTTGAGGACAGAGGCAGCTAGGTGGCACAATGGATAGAATGTCAGTCCTAGAATCAGAAAGACCCAAATTAAAATCTGACCTCAGACACTAGTTGCATGACCCTGGGCAAGTCACTTAACCTCTGTCTGCCTCAATATACTCATCTGTAAAATGTAGATAATAAAAGCACCTACCTCCCAGGGTTATTATGAGGATGAAATGAGATATTTATAAAGTGCTTTGCAAACCTCAAAATGCTATATAAATGCTAGCTATTATCATCATTATTATTATTGCTGAGGAGATCATTCCAAAACAATGTCTTTGGGATCTGATGCTGCCAATCTAGTTGGGCAAAATGGGCAATTTATTTCTGTTTATATTCCTAAGACAGGGAAGGTGTAGTGAGGAAAATGTTCAGAATTTTACAAGCTAGTTGAACCAAGAGGGCAGAGACCAGATGACTATGCTCAATTTTCAATGGAACAAATTGAATAAATGTGGGAAATGGAAAAAAAAAATATTACATTGAAAGGAGACTTAGGATGACAAATTTCTCTTCTGGTTCACGTTACCCACAAAAAGTATTTTTTTCCTGAAGAAGAATAAAGAGTTGAAATTAATGAATTCATATAAACCCAGATCTAGAGCTCAAAGGAAGTTTAGAGTGCATCCAGTTTCAGCCCCTCATTTTATAGAAAAGGGAAATAAGATTGAGAGAGGGCAAGTAAATTGCTTAAGGTCACACAGGAAATCAACGCTAGACATAGAAATTGAACCCAGGCTCCAAATTCAACTCTTTCCATTCCATTCCATTTCTTCCCAAAGACTTCTCAATCACTCATGCCAGGTCCTAGATTAGTTAGCTTTTTATCATCAGTGGCCTTCTGCTGTCCAAGAAAACTTAGTCTTACAAACAGTAAGCACTCAATAAATTCTGATGATGACTACTGAATATGTTGAGGGACAGCTTCCATTTTTTCACCAAATGCATAATACAATCATGATTTTTAAAAAATCAGACTTTTGTTAATAACTCCTGTCTGAATTGTCACAAATTTTGAATTATTGGAGTACAAATTAATTTTACTAACCTAATACGGGCTGTGACAATCTGAATTTAATTGTTTCTAATCTATTATACTAATAAGTTTCTAAAAAAACTCATTGATATGAAACGGTACTCAAGATTTTTATTTTATTTGGTAAATTTTTTTTTAACTCTAATTGAAACATTTTATCCTCCACACCTATGATTAATGTGTGGCCTTGGGCAAGTCACTTAACTATTCTGGAGCTCAGTTTCCTCAACTGAAAAATGAAGGAATTAAACTAGATTACTTCTACCTCTAGATCTATGATACTGTGATCCATTTTCAGGATAAAAAGCAAATTACTGCAGGCATAGTATCAATTATTTTTTAGTTTTTTTGTTTTTGTTTTTGTTTGTTGTTCGAAGAGATAGTATTGAATGGACCTGAGTGACCTACTCAGGTAAAGTTGTGGCAGACTCTTTGTGATCCTATTGGGGGGTTTTCTTGGCAAAGATACTGAAGTGGCTTGCCATTGCCTTCTCCAGCTCATTTTACAGGTGAGGAAACTGAAGGTAAACAAGGTTAAGTGACTTGCCCAGGATTTTGCAGCTAGTAAGTGTCTGAGGTTGGATTTGAACTTAGGTCCTCCTGACTTCAGGCCTGGCACTCTATGCATTGCATCATCTAGATGCCCATCAGATACTGTAGCACATATTTTTGATACTGTGGTTTTCATCACTTAGACACTGTTTCACACTGAGGATACAATCCCAAATGCTTAGGTTATGTATCATATAGATAATGTCAACAGTATCCGTGCACACTGCCTTTATAATTTATAATTCTGTAAGCCAGAGTCATGGAGCATACATCTAGTAATGACTTAAAACAATTTGGACAATTCTGTATGTAGGTTATTACAAAAAGAGAGGATGACAATAGAGTCTGTAACTGTAATTTCATTGATCTAGGCCACAGGGATGGGGAACCTGCAGCCTCAAGGCCACATATAGCCTTCCTTCTAGGTCCTCAAGTGCAACCTTTTGACTGAGTGCAAGTTTTACAGAACAAATCCTTTTATTAAAGGGATTTGTTCTGTGAAGTTTGGATTCAGTCAAAGGGACCTTGAAGGCCACATGTGGCCTGAAGAAGCCTCAGGTTCCCCACCCAGTTTCCCCCGCTAGGGAAACGCTGGATGAGGAAAATCTTTCTCTCCATGTAGCTTGGCCCTGTCTTTGTAACTTCAGGTCTTCCAGAGTTACCTGAGCATTTCATTGACTTGCCTGGGGTCAAAAGCCAGTTTGTATCAGAGGCAGTATTTTAAAGCCTGGTCTTCTTGGCTTCAAAGACAGCGTGAAAGCTTGTGATTTGTTTGAATGTAACATAGAATTCCTCCACTGTAACTGAAAGTCAAAGCAATGCAAACTCCCCAAGGCAAGTGTTATTACAAGCTCCTGAACCACCTTAGATGTATTTTTTTTCAGTCCTGGAAGATGAATCTTCCTCTATTGTAACTTTGAAAAATGAAGGAGTGTATTCAGAGCAAATGCTGCTGACAAGTCAGATAAACACCAGCGACACACTTACCCAGAATGCTTCATGTTTTGGGGTTTATCCATTCGGACGGCAAGTTTAATTTTCAGATCTTGATCAGGGCAGTTTTTGGAAACTGTCATTTTATGCCATTCTGATTGTTTGGGGCTGTTAGGGGTAGGACGGAGAACAACCTAGAGGAAAAAAGAGGAAGTTGTTTTAGACAGAGAATCCCTTCAAAGGGTTTTATTCAACAAACATTTGTCAATCACTTACTAGGTAGCAAGCTATGCAAGATGAATTAAAAAAAAAAAGGAAACTTCAGTCTTCAAAGAACTCACATCTTATTTACCAGTGAGGAACAGTTAAGAGAAATAGGCTGACATATTTGATTATATAATCTAGGCCTAGAAAGAACTTTGGAGAGCATTCTAGTCTAACCACCCATTTTAGAGGTGAGGAGACTGAGGATGGGAGGGTGAAGTGATTCACTCAAGGTCACACAGGGTAGCAGAGTGGGATTCAGATCAAGGTCTTCTAGTTCCAGATCTGGTGCTCTTTCATTTATCTCATGCTGACTCATCTCCATTTCATTCTTCTCTGTGAAGAAGAGATGCATTTCTTAAAGTACCAGCCCTCATATACTGAGAGCTATAAGGGATTGTAGAGAGAATCAGTCCAATTTCCACCATATTACAGATGAAAAATGAAAGAGACCCAGAGATGTTGAGGGTTCCACAGGTTAAAAGTAAGAGCCAGGATTTTACCCCAGGGTTTCTCATTCCAAACCCAGCCCTCTTCCCCCCAACCCCCAGAATTATAGCTTTAAATCTCATTTGGAGGCAGGGGTGGGGTGAAGACATGGGAACCCAGAGCTAGAAAGCCTTGGGAGGGAAAAACGTTAAGGGGAATGGTTGCCCTGGAAATGTATATTTTATTTTATTTAAATTAGAAAGCACACTGCTAAAGGAGAAACCAATGGAGAGAATACCAGAAAGTGGCTCTCCAGGTGTTTGCTCCCAAGGTCCTTTTCCTCAGAGTAAGAGAGAAGAGGAGGTAAGTGGCCTTGATGAGACACCCTGAGGAAGTGAAGACCACAAAGCCATCATAGAGAGTTGGGAAGAAGACATTGTGCTCTGTTCTTCTATTAGAGTGGTTCACACTGGCATTCAAGCCGCAGTTGTAGTAGTAATTGACACATAGACTGCTTTAATATTTGCATTACGCTTATCTTACATTATTTCACTTGAACCTCATCACGACTCTGAGGGGCAGCCATTGAAGGAATTATTCCCTTTTTGCAGATGAGAAGATGGAGACTTGGGGTGGTTAAGTAACTTGCCTAATGTAGTACAATGGATATTAGATGATTGGAATCCAAGATTATCCTTAATCCATGCCCAGTTCTCTATCTACTATAACTACACTGCCTCTTTACAAAAGAAATTCTGCATATAAGATTAGAAAGACTCTAGAATAGAAGGCATTTCACTGGCTAGCTTGACTGAAGCTTAGGTCTATTTCTGGCAAGCATTGCTTGGTGAAAAAGTGATTAATTACCTCAAATAATTTAATAGTGTTGCCAATGTAATAGTGTCAGAAATCCTAGGCAAAACTGGGAAATAAGATGTTTCTTTTTGGTACCTTCCCATCTGGTTAGTATCTAGATACTATACTATACTATAGTATAGTATGCCTTAATATATACCCTCCCTTCTACTAAAATGTATCTGTATAAGCGCTTAACAAATGTTTTCACATTCTACTGTATTCCATGAGAAAACATGGAGATTGATATCTGAACTAATAAGTAAGAGCCCATTCAAAGTCATCCCCTTGGAAGGTCATATACTTCTTTCAGTGATGTCATGACTCATCAATGAGCAGGTGAGTCCTAGGAAGTTGCCTGAGGTTCAGAGAAGTTGTGTGACTTATCCAGGATCTCATAGATAGTCTATCCCGTATCTTTACAACACCAAATCTGGAATGATACCTATCATACTATGCCGACCTTACCCTATGGGATTCTTTGGGTGTTGTTTGGAGAGCCCAGAACCTTTTCTTCGGAAGATACTCAATAATAGGAAAGCTTAATTTCCTGAGGGTAAATTTGATTTTGGAGGAAAAGTCCAAAGTTATTTGGAGACAAATTTGATGATTAAGGTAGAATCTCAGAGGTGTCAGACACATGGGACAAATGTGGCACACAACACTCTTGAGAGTAGCCTGAACCAGATTAAAATGGAATTCTTATCTGATTTTGTTAATGTATTAATATACTCATGAGTTGTCAAAGGTTGGATAGCTCTCATTCCACTTTATAGTCAGCCTCTATTGTGCTCCATTTCCTCAGGTCTCTACCTTCAGCTTCAGGTTAATTAATTCGTTGTCCATCTTATGAAAGGCAGCTTCCTACAAAAGATAGTGAACTGATTCAAGTCAAGAAGGTGTGGGTTCAAGTCTGGCCTTAGACATATACTGACTGTGTGATGCTGGGTAAGTAACTTAACCATTCAGTGCTCTAGGAAGCTTTCTAAGACTTGCAGAGTCTTACCTGTATTAGTAGAGAGGATTTCCTCACCCTGAAGTCCCATAGAAGCAGGAGGCTCTATCCTGTTTAATTCATATTATTCTTTCCTTTAAAATGATGTAATCTTGTGAGGGGAATAAAATAAGACCACTTCAAAGCCAAGGGGAGGCTATAGAGCCCTGAAGGTTGCCTCTTGGTCAGACCACATCTTGAATACTCTGTTTTTCATTTAAAGAGAAAGATTACCCAACTGGAGGGTGGCCAGTGTGGGGAGGGCACTTCAAACATTTTATATAAGCATCAATTAAAAGAATTAGTGATGTCGAGCTTAGAGAAGAGATGATTTAATGGGGGAGGGGGAACAGAGATCTCAAAATATTTGAAGGGTTGTCATGTGAAAGGATTTGCCTTCTTCAGCTTGGCCGAAGAGAATGGAGCTAGGATGAGTGAGTGGAAATTACAAGGAGGCATATTTCAGTTCAAGATAAGGAACAACTTCTTAATTCTTACAAAGGAAGAGTCACCTCTCTGAGTAATCTCCCTCCCAGGGAAGGTCTTTAAACAGAGGGTAGAGACTAGTCAGGGAATATTTGTGTTTGAAGCAGGGCAAAGAGTTAGATGGGATCTTAGAGATCCCAGAATCACCGATTTTTGGTTAGAAGGGTCCTTAGAAGCCACTTAGTCTAACCTAACCCCCTCATTTTGCAGATGAGGAAAATGAGCCTCAGAGAAGGTTAAGCAGCTTGTCCAAAGTCATGCAATCAGTATGATTGGATGGTGATGAAGACAAGATTTAGAATTCGGTCCTCTGACTTCCAAACCAGACTCCTTCACACTGTACAATGTTGCTTCTGAGTCTACAGTCTTTGCTTCTAGAAATGAATTTGTGATGCTGAAGCTTGAGATCTTTGAACAGGATGGTTTGACATGTGGGAAATCATTGCCGCACCATTGGCCCCCAAATGATGCCACTTAGGTGAGTGCCCACTTAGCCTACATGTGAAGGCAAACCATTTAGCATGACCAAAAGGAAGTGAATAGACTTACAGAGGGCAGGGAATAAAGTATTCAAAACTGGAAAAAAGATCTGAGATGTGTCAGGGAGACTCTCATCTATCATTAAATGGCATCCAGATGAAGAATTCAAATGGGACTCGAGTCTTTGTTAGCAGATTCTGTTTCCTAAGGTCAATGGCTTGTATGTAAGGATGTAGTCCATGAAATTCTTTTAAGAGAAAAAAGAGTGGTTAGAAGGAATTAATGATATCTTGAGCTGAAAGAGGCATCAGAGCCCATCTAGTCCAACTCTGTCTTATAGATGAGGATACTGAGGCCCAGAGAGATGACATCGCCAAACAAGATTTGAATTCAGGTCCTCTTATTTCTGAGGCAGTGTTCTTTCCAGCAGCCAGACCATTCCCTTGGTCATTGTCCTTTGTTAAGCAAGGATGGTTTACCCAGATGAAAGTAATTTGAGGTGGTAGCAACTTAAATTAGGAGGCACAGAAGCCTTTTGCTGCCATTATAAAGGGCAAGACTCAGAAGACATGTTTTTTTATTTCTACACCTGCTAAGATTACAGGTTTATGGTTCTCGTAAGAGCGAGGATCAAATCACACTTATTATATCATGCAACAAAAGGGGAAATATGCTTTTATCTGTAATTCTCAGGGTGGGATTGTGAGGCTATTGTATTACAGCTTCTAGGGTGAGGGCTGAGGGGCACGTGCTGGTTTCTCTGGCTACTCAGTGGTTAGTGGTTAGAGCTCAATGCTGAAGAGGACAAGGATTTATAGAAAGTCATTCTTCAATAGGTCTGGAAGGGGTTTTGGAAACCTTCCATTCTAATGCTTTTAAAAAATTTTACATATGAAAATAGTGAGATCTAAAGAGGAAAAATGAGAGTCACAGGATCAAGTTAGTGGCAGCACCAAGGTTAGGTCAGATCTCCCGACACCTGGTCCAGTGTTCTTTCCATTACACCATGGTGCCCAATCCCTATGTGGACTAAACTGCCTTTATTTTTTTAGCTTTATTTTTCCCAGTTATCAGGTATTTATTTTCTCTTTCTTCTACCACCTTCTCTCTGCTGGAAAAAAGGAAAACGAAACCTTCTAACGTGGTAAAGAAGATAAATTACCTTGGCTGACCATTGTCAAGAATATGTATTTTACATATCATATCTCATCCTCCATATTTAATCCATTGCCTCTCTGTCAGGAGACTGGCATATTCTTCATGAGGAATGATGGTGGATCATTGCTTGATCAGAGCCTTTCAAAGTTGTTTGTATTTATAATAAAGTTATTACACAATTTGTTCTCCTGGTTTTGCTCACTGCACTGCATATTAGTTCATACCTAGGTTTCTCTGAAACCATCCCCTTAGTTGTTTCATAAACCATCGTCTAAACAAACATTCACCTTTCCCTAACTGATAGCCACACCCTCAGTTTACAATTCTTGGCCACCCCAAAAACAATTGCTATAAAGATTTTTGTATACATGGGGATTTTCCTCTTTTTAAAAAAATTTCTTTGCTGTATAGACCTAGTGGTAATATCACTGGGTCAAAGGATATGAACAGTTAACTAAATTTGTGGACATAGTTCTAAGCAGCTATTGGCTTTGTTATGTCCGTGGTTAAGGAGTTTCTTGCCTAGCC